CCATGTCTGAAGGGCATCTTCTTGATGAGTGATGTGGGAGGGCCCAGCCCACTGTGGGTGGTGCCACCCCTGGGTAGGTGGGCCTGTGTTCCATAAGAAAGCAGGCTGAGCAGGGGAGCAAGCCAGTAAGCAGCGTTCCTCCATGGCCTGTGCTCCAGCTCCTGCCTCCAGGTTCCTGCCCTGAGTTTCTACCTTGGGCTCCCGGATGAACTGTGACTGGGAGATGTAAGCTGAATAAACCCTTTCCTCCCCAAGTTAGTAGTGGTCAGAGTGCTTGTCACAGCAATGGAGAAATAAACTAGAACAGCAGCTCAGAATGATTTGTATTATTTGTATTATTTGCTTGTAACTCTGGTTCTAAGAGATCTGACACCTTTCTTTTTAAAAAGAAAATAGACAAAGTATGTGAAACTCAAGATTTTTCACATTTAATACCAGGCAGTAGTAAGATTGATCCATGAGAGAAAGCAAGCTTTTTTTTTTTTTTTTTTTTTTTTTTTTTTTTTTGTCTTTTTGAGACAGGGTCTCCCTGTAGCCCCAGCTATCCTGGAACTCACTATGTAGACCAGGCTGGCCTTGAACTCACAGAGGTCCACCTGCCTCTGCCTCCTAAAAAATAGGATTAAAGGCGTGTGCCACCACACCCGACAAGAAGAAGCAAGTTTTAAAAGGTGAGTCAGACAAGTAGTCACTGCCTTGATAAAGTCTCTTGGTTGAAACCCAGAGTGGAGAGACCCACAAAGACCCTGGAAAATGTGTTTATTTTTATTTTTTAAAAAATACAGCTGGAGCTGAGCATGGGCACATGCCTTTAATCCCAGTACTCAGAAGGCAGAGGCAGGTGAATCTCTGTGAGATGGAGGCATGTAGGCCCTGTGTCACAAAACCCCAAATTATGTGTATGAGTGTTTTGCCTGCAAGTATGTGTGTGCACCACATGTACACAGTGCCCACGGGGGCCAGAAGAAGGTGTCAGATCTCCTGGAACTGAAGTAATAGATGACTATAATCCGCCATGTGGGTGTTGAGAACAGAATCTGTGCCCTGTACAAGAACAGCAAGTGCTCTTAACTGTTGAGCCGTCTCTCCAGCTCCCTGGAGGGTGCCTTGAATTGAGGAGATACTGCCAAGATCTGGGGAGATGTCAGTGGGTGGGAGAGAGCTGAAAAGGAGAATTCCAGAGGTCTGTGGAGGGCATGTTCAAGAGCGTACCAGTCACCTGGTGTGTGAGGAAACTGTCTAAGGACAGGTGAAAAACCACTTAATTACAGGGGCGGACCAGTTGTCCCTCAGTGCCAGGGACTGCCAGGAACAGTGCCAGTGTTCCTGGGAGCCAGGCTGTCAAAATTCATAATCAGTGTGATATTAGGCATAGTACTTATGCTTGACCTCAGTAGTGATTAATAAATGACTCAAGACCAAATGCCATTTTGATATTGGTCTGCATCTGGAAGGATTCAGATTCTTTCCAAGTAATTCAACTGCTGTCAGAGGTGTGCAGCAATATCAGAATGTCTGATGCTAACAGGACAAAAGTCACAATATCTACAATTCAGTCAAAGATTATATGTGGCAACAATTATCTGACCAAGCAGGGCAGCACTCCAAGGCTACAGGACGCAAGATTGCTATCTGAAACCAGTTGATACCTGTCTTCTAGTAATAAACAACCAGAAATTGAAATTTTTAATGGTTTTGTGTTTTAATTTCTTTTACTGCTTTTTATTTTTGTGTGTAAGTGTATTGCCTGCATGTATGTAAGTGCACCAGTGTCATGCAGTATCCATGGAGGTCAAAAGAGAGCATTGGATTCCCCTGGAACTGGAGTTATAGATGGTTGTTAGCCTCCATGTGGGTCCTCTACAAGAGCAGCCACAGCTCTTAAGCACTGAGCCATCTCTCCATCCCCTAGCCTGACTTCATACTAACAGCGTTCTAGACTCAGCCAAATTCTGAGAGTATAGTCATGTACCACCGTTCCTGGCTTCAAATTGTGAAACATAAAATCGAAGAAGATAGAGAAATCAAAAAGAAATGCTTAGGCAACTGGGTGCTTTAGGAAAACAAATTTATTTCTCAGAGTTCTGGAGGAAGCAGTGTGAGGGAGTTACCTTCAGGCAAGATGGAGACCCAGAGAAAAGTAAGTGTGGTCTAAGGGCCAGGAAGCGCTATTGAATGTGCTGAGCGGCACCCAGCCGCACTAAACTGGCTGCTGTAAACTGCTCATTGGTTCTGAGAGTTTCTCACATGATCATTACAGCATTTTTCTTAAGATTTTATTGTTTTTATTTAAAAAATTGTATGACATTTATTTATGGTGCGTGTCACAGTGCTCAAGTGGAGTTCAGAGGGCAGCTTGTGAGAGTTGGTTCTCTCCTTCAACTATGTGGGTTCTGGGGATTGAACTCAGGTCCTCAGACTTGACAGCAAGTGTATTTACCCACTGAGCCTTCTCTCGATTCTTTTATTTTATTTTTGGAAGTAGGGTCCCACTGTGTAGCCCTGACCGGCCTGGAAATTGCTATGTAGACCAGGCTGGCTTTGAACTCAGAGAGATCCACCTGCCTCTGTCTCCCAAGTGCTATGAACAGTTTTTAAAACTGTCTATTGGCCATTTGTATTTCCTCTTTGGAGAACTCTGTTGGCTTAGTCCATTAGCCCATTTTAATTGGGTTTTCTTGCTTTTTATTGAGTTCTTTGTATGTTCTAGAAGTCAATCTACTGTTGGATGTGTGCCTGGCAAAGATGTTCTCCCATCTTTAGGCTGTCTCTTGGTCCTGTATATTATTTTTCTTTAGAAAAGAATGAATCTAATGCTTCAAATGCGAACCAGAGGACAAGCTCCTTAATTCCTAGGTGAGGAAAACCTCAAGCCACACCCAACGCTGGACTGTCCACAGAAGGAGTAAACTGTCCTGTGTTGTATCTTTAGCCCCAGGAAATCCAGCTGTACTAACAACGACTTCCACAAAGTCAAACGTTGAGACCAACAGCAACCAACCAGTGACTCAAACTGGCCCCTACACTAGGTAAGCAGAACTGGGCCAGGACAACTCTTTTTCACTGGGCTGGCCCCATGGCCTTTCCTCTGGGAAGGCCTCCAAATAAACAAGATGCCCAGGAATCCTGGGATTCAGGGAAACATCAATCATTTCTAGACTAAGCATATCCCAAGCACTACATGAGATGAACTCACACTAAAAAATGATATGTTGGGCTGGAGAGGCGGCTCAGTGGTTAAGAGCACTGGCTGCTCTTGCAGGGGACCCATGTTCAGCTCCCAGAACTTGCATAGTGGTTAACTGTCCTTAACTCCAGTTCCAGGGGATCCAATGCCCTCTTCTGGCCTCTGTGGGCGTTGCACAGCACGGGTACATTTACAGATGTGCAGGCAAACACTCATACACATAAAATATAGCTTTAAAAAATTGTTTAAAAAAAGTATATGTTGCTTACCTGAATATCAAATTGTCCTGAGCATTCTGTAATTTTATTTGCTAAACTCAGCAAGTATCTTGTGAGAACTCTGAGGCTGGGCCCCCATGTGACCACTCTGATATATTCTCATGTCAAAGTCTGAGGTGAACTTTCCCTACCAGTTCAGCTTTGAATACTAACTAAGTAGCTTCAGCTACAGGAAGGCAAAACCTTTGGCTGGGTGGCAAACAAGACTGATCATGGGGCTTTTCTGTTTCTCCTCGTGTCCCCTGGGGGACAAGACAGAGGGTCACAGTTGGATTCTCTACTGAATCAGAAGAGAGTCCTCTCCTGTCACCATCTGTCTCATGCCCAAGAACAAATCTCATTATTCCAGCTTGCCTGTCCCAAGCACCAGTGCGTGCGTGCGTGTGTGCGTGTGTGTGTGTGTGTGTGTGTGTGTGTGTGTGTGTGTGTTTGTGTAGTGCAGATGGGGAGAATGGGCAACTGACGGCTATAAGTCTGTTGTTTGTTACCCTTGAAGGTTCCCAGAGGAATTCCCAGGTTCCCACACCCTGTAGTGCAGATGGGGAGAATGGGCAACTGACGGCTATAAGTCTGTTGCTTGTTACCCTTGAAGGTTCCCAGAGGAATTCCCAGGTTCCCACACCCTGTAACTACCCTGTTTTAATTCCATCACAGCCTGCTGTAGTCAAGCCTCTAGGTCAAGGCCACAGGCAAACTACAGCCCTCCCTGCACCCCCTAGAGCTGTGGCAGAGATCATCTCTCCACTTCTTCCCCAGAATTGCCCTTCAGGTCTTGACTTGCCCTTCAAGCATGTTCCCTCCATCCACTCAATCTCTAGAAAAGCAAAAGAGTCTGATGTGTCTACCTCGGAGGCTCATCTGACACGGTCTACCTCGGAGGCTCGTCTGACACGGCCTACCTCGGAGGCTAGCTTGAGGACTCTTCTACATTTCCTTTTTTGTGTCTTCTCCTCCTAGTGCTTTGGAAGTGTTTTCTTGCATGGATGGACTGTTAGTCACTGGGGGACAGAGGGCACAAGGATCCAGAGACGAAATGGGAAAGCCCAGCAGAGCGTGGAGTGTGGGAAAGAGCTCAGTCCTGGGGGGATGTTTCAGGGCATTTTGGGATGTGGCCTGCCAGGCGGGCTTGCCACCTTCTTCCGGGAACATAATCTCTAACCTGTGGCTCATTTTTAAAGTTTCTGATATTTCCCATGAGTGAAGGTGGTCTCTTGATGGGCTATAGGAAAACACAAGGTGGTCCAAGGAGGGAGTTGTACCATCCAGAGAGAAACGCCCTCCAGAAGAAGAAAAGGAGCATTTCTGTGTGTCTGTTTGTGTCTGTCTATCTGTCTCTCTGCATGTGTGTGTGCAACATGGAGGTCAGAGGACAACCTCAGCCACTTTCCACCTTTTGAGACCTTCTTTGGGGAAGAATGCAGAAGATGGCAGGGAGGTGGTGAATGGAGGGTCGATACTGTTCAAGGTCTCACAATCCCATAAGGTATAATAAAGGGACACAGAAAACCAATGTCAACCCACAGGGCAGAATAGAA